TCGGTCTAGACCGAACTCCTTATAACATTATTTACAGAGACCCAACAGTTCCCACCATGAGCAAGCACTTGGCGATGGCGGCAAGGAAAAAAGGAAAAACTGCCTTTTAACAGGCAGAAACCTAGGACAGACCCCTCGGCTCTAGTTGGGTGGTCGTCTGCCTCGACCACATCTAGCAGATATGGAGCAACTTTAGCATCATTTAGAGTTGTGTTTCTGGACACCTTGTGAATGTAAGTGAATGCAATATTTCCTCTCCTTTTAACTCCACCAACTCCTTAGAGAAATATCTTACTCTTTAGCTGCTAAATACTCCAGTTAGTCGCTGACTTTGTCTGACTGTCTCCTGCATGAAAGTCTAATGCGCTACACATTTATCAAAACACTCCAACCTCCTTGACCTCAATGTGTACTTTGCTACATAAACGAACAATATTCCCTGCAATGGCACTGGATGTAAATTGAGAGGCGTGGAGTTGTTTAATATGGTTCTGCCTGTTGAAATACTTTATTGATCCCTGGGGTGAAATTTGTTTTAGGACAACCTACCACAGAAACTCATTGGAGGAATTTTTAGAAGAGCGCCGTCTCTCCAACTTCCATTTTCTGTTGCCATTCCTTTCAGGATTGGGGTTCAGCTCTTCCCATTTATCCAACGGTGAACCAATGGTAACTGGTGGCAGTAATAAAATAATTAGGAATAAAATAATAATCACGAAATAGACTGAATCAACAAAGGAGGCAAATTAAGTTGATTTGTTTTGTTTAATTGGTTGCTCATCACACCCTCACCTTTGATTAAATGAATCACTCTAAATCTAAAATTAATTTATCAGGAAAGTCTTATCTGTTAATGTGTTTTTAGCTTTGTAAAAAAGCAAATAAAAAGACATTTAAATTTTCCAATAATAAACATAATAATAATAATTTAAAAAGTAACTAGTTATGATTAGTTAGAAAAAAAACCTTTTAACACCAGATTACAAGCACTAATGGAATCTTATGATAGCACAAACTGAGCTTGTTGTGCGTGTCTAAACTAAAAAACAATCTGTCCACAATTCACAAAAAATAGCACATACGATTTTGCTGGTAAATGACACTAAAGTTATAATCAATCTCACTGCCATGAATTATTCACCACACTGTAGTTTGACTCACTCTGCATAAGTTCTCATTGAATACTTTAACCTTTTCAACTGGCAAATATGAAACTAATTGGCAGTTTCCTCTTAATGTCTTTTTAAGATGATTCCTTTCATTACAGTAAATTGGCAAGATCCTTCTTTGGCCTAGCTTGAGAGATGATGATAGTCCGACTTGTTGGGGTATATATGGATTGGTGGGTTGTGGGAGCTTTATGTCTTTTGAGAAACTGGGTGAGGTGGTTAATAGCAAGATAAAACAAGTCAAGGTACTGGGTGACACGATTTAATCTTTATAGAATAGATACGATGAAATACACATTTAGAGTGAGAAGTAAATTAAAGACACTGTACACTAACTACTGCATGCTGTATGAAATCAAATGCTATTGAATCAATATACTGAATGGTAACTGAATTATAACATAAAGGGCTTGTCTTTTGGGATACCACAACAAACCTTTAAGAAAGACTACTCACTGAGAAATATAAACATGTTGTATTAGAAAATATTTAACAAAATTAAATTTGATTCAAACACAAACAGCTGTACAAGAACTTTGCATGAATGAAATGCTGAAATCGGCAAATTTTGATTTAATTCAGGAACGATCTGACCAAAAGAGAGGTAAACAAAAATCTGACTGTATATTTATTGTTGAATTATTGGTGGTACAGATACATTTCATAGTAATACAGGCTATCATCTCCAGTGTATGGGTTGTTTTTTTCACTGTGTACGAGGGTGTTGCTCTTCCTCTGTAGCAGGACTTTATATACATGTGAAATAGCCGAAGGTTGGTCTGCATCACTATCACAGAACTATAATTTGTCCATAAATTGCATGTGAGGAATGCTGGGTCTATATGACTCTGTACAGCTCTTCTAAAACATTGTGAAAAAAGTTTACGGTCCATCTCTACCTGAGTCTAGTGATGCCCTCTCTGGGGTTCTCATGCTCGGTCCTGTCTGTTCAACTTCCACCTGGATCAGCTCCGTCTCATCCGTCTTCTTCTTGTGAGTGTTGTTCTTCTGGCCGTTGCCCCGGGATGACAGGGGACTCTTCCTGTCCTTGCTGTTCCTCCTGTCGCCAGGTTCACTGAGATCCAGCAGGTCCAGTGTTGAAGACAGAACTGAGAGGGAAATTACACTAGTTAAGTCTTCCTCTTTTCATAAAGTCTTTGCGTGAATGTACTGTAAATTGCACCACCAATATCACTTCTGTGTTTATTGCTGGTTCATAAAAATGCTTGAGTTTTAATTTAAATTCAACCTGTGAATGATGGTCATCTGAGTGATCTTTTTTCTTCTTAAATCTCAATAGTTTGGCTTTCAGTTTGTGGTTATGCCAAGGTTGAGGCATGTGACATATTCACATGCTTAATGTTCCCTTTGTTATAAGATAGAACAATTTCACTTTCACTGTGCTGCATGAAGCTTTGATTTTGATCTGCACATTTTCTGACTCATGAGTTGAGCTGTCAAGGGTACTTTAGCTGTCACGGTATTGCCATCAGCAGACATCTAAAGAATTTGCTGCTGCTCTTTTCAGAGAATCTAAATATACTACAGACCACTGCACAGATTGATAAGGATAAGGCAGCCCCTTGAGGAGATCCAGTTTGGTCAATTAAGTAATTCAATCTCAGGTTGGTAGAGCGGCAAAGAAGGACAGAGCCTTCTGTCAAGTGGCTCAACTTTTGTCTGTGAGCTACATGTCAGCTTCATGGCTACAGACTCTCTCACAGTGTTAAAACTCTGTGCTGATAGCCAGGTTTCAGTAAAACTAAGAGGATGTTTGATTTGAATAGGTATTGTGAATTTCTTTCCAGAAGTCTTTTGTATCTACAAGATGTCTTTTATTGTAAATCACACTGCCTATTTCTTCCCCCTGCTGATTTTTCTCTATTTACACCCACAGTTCTTTCATATTTTGTCTACTGAATTATTTCTGTGTTGGTAATTTGATTTGTTGTGGTTTGAGTCAAATTGGCATTATATCCCACAGCTGGCTGTTGTTGCCAGTTGTGTTGTCATAAATGAATGAATAAAACAAATTGTGTCAATTACACACAGAGCTTTCTAATTCTAGGAGATGTTTTCCATCTGAATGGGAAATTTTCTGTGAATGCATTTTTTAAAACTTGTTGTCTCTCCTTAATCCATTATACACGTGGCATCACATTACATTGTCAGTGTAATGCGCTTATTCTATATGAAGCACATCTGGCTGTTCAAATGAAGTTGTTTTCTATGTTTACTAACATTCAATAATGTGAGTTTCTAATGATCTTTGGTTTTGACACTGGATCTTTATGAACATATGTTTGACGAAAACCTTGTAGACCCATGGTAACACAAGTAAGTTCAGTGGGTAAGTTCATAACCTCAGTAAAAAAGCATTTTCATGCATTGGTTATTTGAGGAACCTACAAAGTTTATTTCCAAGGACCCTGACTGTGTCTTTTGTGCAATGTGAACTCAAAACTACAGACACATGACTGCATAATTGGCGTGCCGCTGTTTCATGACAACCAACTGGGAGCATTTGTTGACTGGAATCTCTGCGTAATTAGAGAGTATGCTCGTCTTCTATGCCTTGTGCACTTTAGATGACAAGTACAATTACAAATCAAGGGAGACACACTCGTGGGGAAGGTTGCCTGAAGAGTTTTCAGCATCAAAAAGAAACACAAGCTGTTCATGAAAAGGCAATGATGTCAAAAATGTTTTGGCACCCTCCAGTCTACTTGAAATGATGGGACTAGGAAGACAATTGCACAGACAAGCAAGTTTTCCTAATCAACTGGATATTTTAAAAGGATGCTTGGATAATGTATATTTATCTAATGGATAATGATTTGCTCTGTGGTGGCCAATGGACTGATGGTGAGCAAATCAGTGTCACCATTGACCATGTTAACTGGGTCTTAAGCTTTTCAGCTTTATAATATAATGACTGACAGAAAATATGGAGTAGTGAGAGGGGAGAAGACATACTAATACAACTTTCAGAGCCCAACCCATCAGATTAGAAGTGTTACTGAGTCACCAAGAAACCTTCAAAGGAGTTGACTCAAAATTATCAAACTACTTACCGATTATTTCAATATTTGACAACTAACCAAGTGATTAATGTTTCACTTTTACAAGACAAAAAGGTTTGAGGGTGAGGACTGACTGAGTTTGGGAAATGTAACATGATCTTGGATAATAAGTTCAGCTGAGATTGTGATTGTAAACTGTCCAAAATCAGAGCAGAGCTTCCGTGTTAACTATGAGAATGATGTTAGCCAGCAAACCATCTCCCATGCAGCGGGGGAAATAACATGGTGGATGTGCCGGTTGGCTGGGCTTGCTAACGTTTCCAGCTTGCAATAAAGCACACACTTTAATCTTTCACAGTCAGTAAACAATAATCACTGAATTGATCGCTGAAATCTCAAGCAATCAGTTGTGAAGAATTCAAAGAGGAGAACCGTTGTGTGACTATTGAACCAGCATGTTGGAGCAAAGTGCTGACAAAAGGGGGAAAAAAAGTTGTGAGTATTGAGGACAGAGGATTTTATGCAATGAGGGGGTGGTGATGAGAGGCTCTTCTTGCATAAATGAGGTTCAGCCTTCATCTGGATAATGATGGATATTCTCACCAGAGTGGGAAGGACATTACAGTGTTGAGGAGTGTTTTCTCAGTGATGTTTCTCCTCAATAATAGGGGAAACCAGCCGATTAGGTAAGTTTATAGCTTCAGACTCAGCACTAATTTTCTTACTTAAATTGAGCATTTGAAGAGACTAGACTAGTGGCTAGTTTTTGTAACCCCCAGATACCCATGCAACCAATGTATAATTTATGATTAAGTTTTTAAAATTACATCAACGGGCAAAAATAGTCATCCACCTCAAAATCTGACTGAAGTAAAACTGCATGCAAGAGAGAACACAACAAGATGTAGGCCTCAGGCGGATTAGCATATTTGAGCTGGTAATTATCATTCATCATTGATTTCCTTTGCTTGCTAATTCCTGCTCAGTGTTATTCAGTGCTGAAATTACTGCCGGTCTATCACAGGGTAAAAACAGATTGACAGACAATGACATCTACAGTAAAATCCACTTCACCTGCATGTCTTCAGACTGTGGGAGGAAAATCAAAGCAGCTGGACGAAACCCAAGTGAACATGTGGAGAATGTAAAACTGCCTACAGAGAGGACCAGTGTTGTACCTATTTGTACCAATTGGCAGGAATGACTTCATGTGTACATGAATTTATCCAAAACCTTTTTCTTTTTCCAAACCCTTTGCATTTAAATAACACACACTTTCCCAATATTCCACATAGATAACATTTTAGTCAGGGTCTGACCATTTGGGGAATTTTAAGATTCATGACCAATTATAGGCCTACATCATTGTCAGCAGGAGCAGCAGGAGGCATTGGGGAGACAGAAGGTGGGAGAGTTTCCCAAAACAGTCCCCCATACTTTGCCCAGCTGAATCGGCACAGTCAGTGCCCAGTTTGGAGATGACACATGTCAGCTGTGCAATCTGGTTCTGTAAATCGTCATTCAAAAGATGGTACAGCTCAGTGATCAAGGTCCCATCCATGTGGAAACCAAGATGGCACTTGGCATCTGTTAAAGTCAGAACTTTGAATTTCTCAACACACACTTTGGCCCAGATTATATTTAGATTATTTATATAGAATAATAAAGTTATAGTGATAAATGATAATGATAAAGTTACATTGCACATATGCAAAGGGAGACACACTTGAACATTTTACTGATGTCAAGGTGTTACCCTTGTGTGTATACAGTTTGTTCAGACTGATTAAGCTATATTCCAAATAAGTTTGGGTAATGCCGTGAATAGTAGTGAGTGGGTGTGTTACTCAATAGGCTAATATTATCATTAATAAATTTTTACCAATCTTACAGAGAAATACGATACAATGCATGTCCTCTGCTCAATTACCCCACAGTAAACTGTAAGGTCCCAAACTCAAGTCTCATATTATACCTATACGACCACGTGTTTTAGTGCATTTACTGGCATCTAACATGATCTAACATCTGATATGTGAAAGCTTCAGAAACAATTCGGAATATCACAAACGTTTTTTGCACTTGGCTGAAAAAGTGCATAAAGTATGAGACTTGAAGTATTCGTCACTGAAGCTTCCTTTCAACTGAAGAGACAAAGAGCCTGTTTATACGGTTGTAAGTACGTCAGTTTACACCTCACTTCGCCACTCTGTATGCAAATAAACACTTTTAGGGCTTAACTTTAATCAAAATGTTGTCAGTCAATGTCCATTATTACTGTCCTTTTTTCAGTTCAGCGGCACATTAGCCCATCGCTTTTACCTGTGCTGTCAGCAGCCCTGCAGGAGAGCTGCTGGTGCACTGTGGGATGTTTTAACTGAACTTTATGAGCAGGACTGTGGAAATCTGTTTTTTTCACATCACAGATCACGAAGAAAGGCAGTAATGCCAGAGAAAGTAAAAGTCTACGCCCTGCTACCACCATGAAACGTCTCTGCTTCCTCCAGGCACTGATAGGCTGTCAGCCCAAGAGTCACTGACAGTGGACGGCAGTAGAGGAGATTGTACCGCTGTCTAGACAACACGCTGGGAAATAACTAAGTAAGAAATAACTTAACATGTAAAGTTTCCTGAATTTACAAGAAAGCCAAGAAAACCTGTCATAGATAGTGTTTCACAAAGTTTATAAAGTTTCTCTTCATTCAAAAACTTTCAAAATTGGAGTCTCAATTGTTGGTCGAATCAGTTGAAACCGTGTGTTCACCAATATCTGCTGCTTATCTTGGCAGGTAAAAGAGCCCAAGAGAGGCAGAAATTAAATATAATATTTGTATGTTTTCATTAGTGTATAATGAAAATAAGAACTGTTGTGTTTTTGTTACCTTAGAATAAGCCATTTTTATCTACAGAGGGAGCGGGTCCTCTTCTACGGAGTCCACCATATTTAACTGCCATGTTTCTACAGCAGCCCAGAACGAACAAACCAAACACTGGCTCTACAAAGGAGTTTTGCAGTCACTGTAATTTCTCACACTCTTGGAAGGCTGAGCTGTATTCAAATAGTTGCAATCTGCAACTTCACTCCTAGATGCCACCAAGTCCTACACAATGGTCCTTTAATTGGCGCCCTTTTAATTACGTCATCTTCATCTTCTTCTGCAATGGTTTAATGACACCTGTCTGGAGAAGCCACTTTTTTTCTTGGTGCACCCAACTCCTAATATTCATATAACAGTAGTGGATGGAAACAAAGATTGCCAGTTTTCTGTAAATTCAGTTCAAACTTGTACTACACTAGGATGGAAACCTGACTAGAAAGTCTCTGAATCTTTTACGAGTATGTTACTAAACAGAGAGCGAGAGGATCTCCTACAGTGACTAATTTGCTGCGAAACGGGAAAGAAGAAGGAACCTTCATTAGAACTGGTATTGCATTGTCCATTGATGATCCCTTTTTAAATCAAGCACATAAAAGGCTGGACACGTAATTATGCACTTCATACAGTAAATACAGTAAATGAATGCGCAGGCAGCCATGCATTACTGGTTGCAGTTCAAACTTGTGGTTCCTAGAGAGCTTTGTTGTGAATGTAAACATCAGATAATATACTCTACTGCTTTATACATATACTAGTTGCTACACCAGTGGTCATGGGTACGATTTTGATTTAACAGACACATGGCACAGCTGAAAACCCTCTCCAGTGTTGTTGCCATGGTTGATAAAAACATGTTGTTAACAGGAGGCCGCATCCAATGTGTCATTCAAGGCCCTCACGTGTTAACAACCACAGTGTGGTATCACCAAGCTGTTCCTCTGTATGTTGCAGACTAATTGTAGATTTGTATTACATATTATTCTTTTGATATGGCGCCTGGTTTGTCACCTACGTATGTTTGCATGTCATCAGTTTGACACACTTTTGCAGACAGAAAAATAACTTTACTGTACCGGCTGTGTTGGAAGTCACTGGGCGGGAAAGCCCATCACACTTGGTCTCGCAGAGGAAATCGTCGATGGAAGGGCTAAGAAGCGGGCGGCTCTCTTGTTGCTCACTCACCAGCTGTAAGGGCAAACAGACAAGACAGTTCAGGCTTTCTCTCAGCATGAAAACTTCCATCATAATGTCTTCAAAGGTCCCTGGTATGTTAACTTTAAGTGAAGTTCAGCCCTTTGGTCATGATACAGAAGACACTAGAGTCCCTACTGACATCCCTGCATTGCAAAAGGGTTTCAATGTGTCTGTGTGTCATTTTAGGAAAATAACACACATTTCAGCACATCATTTATTCACAGCATCTTGACACAGATACACTGAAGTGATTCAAATGTGTGTTGATCCACTCAGCTCAATAAAAATTGTGTTTATGTGAAGAACACAGTGAAACTTACAGTACTTACTAAAATCTTTTGAGAGAGACCCTACTGTTCACTCTCTTGACCACATGCGATCATGTACTGTATATTGTAAGTCAGGCTCAGTAGCTGCTCTTTGCAAAATGATTCGTAGCTACTTGTGCCAGTATTTTTTGACAACTGGCATGTGGTTATATTGCATATTGAGTGGTAGCTGATGTTGCCCAATTGTGCATCTGCAGCCAGCTTTCACGTTTTTTTTGACAGACATCAAAACACAGTTAATGTCTGGCCATTGGTTGATGTTGAAACATCTTCATCACACAATGTCATCGCTATGTTTGCATGCACACACAAAGCACTGCAACTGGGGGAAAAAACGGGGTAAGGCAGGAAACTGGACAATGTTTTACACGTGCTATAAATAAGTCTTTACATACAGCTGGTCTGCAAATCCCAACCATATTCTTGAATCCAAACTGGCATTTTAAATATGTTAGTAATTACGTTGCTGCCTGCAGAGCTATTGTTTCTGCATTTGGACTGAGAGGACAGGTTCTGTAGTGAGATAGAATACAGGTTTTCATGTGTGTAGGCCTAAATGTGCTTGAATTTTACTGATGGTGCTGGAATCCAGTTTTAGTTGCAGTTTTAGTCAAACTTGAGTGTAAAGACCCTACACACCCACACAGGTGATTGATCAACAAACTACATTAACCAATAAGAATAATAAGTTTTTTCGTGTTGTGTGGTAGAAAGCAGACCGGACAGGAAATGACACAGATGATTGTAAACATAACCTCCTTGAATTAGCACGGCTCGTTCACATCAGTCTACAAGTTGTAAGTTACGTGACATCTCATCAAACCTCTGTCACTGTCCTTGTGTTACAGCCAGGAAACATCCCTCCTTCTCTGTTCCTTGTTTTATTGTTGTTTTATCCATTAATATAAGCAAGAATATAAACAATCAATATTTCCTGAATGAGAGGTCAATCCAGCCCCATCTTTCAAGCTGACTGGACATTTGCAACTGGAAGCAGAAACTGGCGTGATCGCACCTTCAGAAGAGGCTTAATCAGGCACGATAAGTAAAAACAGCTGTGTGGGCGGACCATGGATGGCAGGGGTTTTACTATTTAACATTTCAGATATAAGAAACACAGCTACAAACATCTTTCAAACTGCTGTTACACTGATACTTTCGTTGTTTTAAATGGAAATCTGGGATTTTTTTTTAACTTGTTCCCCATGTTGAAATGACTAATGGGGATAACATGTTTTAAATTTTGTCCAGGATTGAGGATGTACAATGCAATCATTCTAACATTGATGTAGATTAGCTAGGTAGTTACCTAGTGTGTTGCTAACATTAGCTAATTAAAAATGTGACAAGAAGGGAGAAAGTTGACCGAGGTTCTGACCAAGGCTTGCTCAGCTGTTATTGGAGCAAAGAGCAGAAAGATGACCAGGTTAGTAGAGTACATTATCTCACTGAGTGCATCCTATAGTCACCACTGAGATGAGCTGGGCTGAGAGAAACCTGATGGATGTGTCCCAAAAAATAATTGCTTAACCATTATTGCTTATCTCACCTTCCAAACCATGAAAATGCTAATCACCTTGCTTGTGATGCACCAATTTGTAGGCCTGCCAGTGCAGCTGAATAGGTTACATCCAATTCATTATTGGTACCCTGAAGCCTCAATACTCCAGGTGCAGCTGGCCGCAATTTGCCAACCAATGCTTCATGATTTGGAGGTGAAAACCAGTTTTGTCCCAGTGAAAGGGTAAGCCACCACCACTGTTGTCAGCCTGTGCAGCGTGTATATAATGCTGGCAGCGACGAAACATGACATTTGCTATTGTTGCTCTCCAGGCCGTGCTCGCAAGCAGAATTTTAATGAAGGTGCTAAAAGTTTAATTACCGAGCAAGAATGGACTGCACACAACCTGCCATATGCTTGATATGAAAGATGCTGAATGGGGTTTTCATAGTGTGTCTACGCTGTATGTGCCCTTACAATTATAAATGTATAGTATATTCATCCTGTATTATACTGTGGCATTATAGTAGCCATTTAACAATGACATTGGCTTTACACCCTCATTGTCCCACAGATCCCACTGCTAAAAATAATAGTAATTGCAAACAATGGCACAAAATTTTCTTCCTTTAAATATTTTTTTCTTTTCTTCTGACCTTATTAACCCAATAAAAATATTGAAGTGCGAACCTTTGCTGGAAAGCTCAAACTGCACAAACTGAGGCATTCAAAATGAGCATACAGCTAAATCAACACCTCTCTAAAAAAGTTTTAATTAAGGCTGAACCTTTACAAACATAGGATTTATAGCAAGACTTCTGTATTTGACTGCATTGGTTTTAGCTTAGTGTACTGGCAACTGGGTCTGTATGTGACTTTAGTTTGTCAAAAAAGTCATTCACACAAAGAAATGTACAGTATGTTATCCCACATGGTGACGTTACTTATGTTTGGGTTCAATTAAACTCCAGAGAGGTCTGACTTCCTGCTAAACCTCTTATGAACAAAGAACATTACAGTTAAGCCGCAATAAAATAAAACTAATTATAATTTATGAGGTGGATGTTATGAATTTTGCTTCATGCATATTTGAACAACAGAAGTGTTTTTTCACTCGGAATAATATCCAATAGTTGCTGCACAAAAGAAAGAAGCACAAACTTTTGCAGAAGAGAGAAAACCTTTGAAAAAAAAAAAATATATAAAATAATGATGATGATAAATAATATCCAGAGGAAGGGGTCATTATTTGGTAGAGTTTGCACTGCGCTCCAAGAACGCTGACCCAGCACAGGTAATTAGAGTTTGTGCACTTCTGGTGTCAGAATAAAGCTTTGGTTCATGGCAAGTCTCACAGTGTGAAGTAACCTGATTTCACCCTCTGCTGCTGCCAGCCCATGCATTTTCCCCCAATTTTGGACTACAGCGACAAATCATAGGATGGGAAAACACAGGGGTTGACTTGTTTTTAAAGACTGAACTTATTCAGTGATTTACACTCTGTGCTTGTTTGGGAAACGTGTAATTGAGTCTGAGTGAAGGCTGAACCACCATTGACTTATTTACAATTGTTAGTGTTGTGAAAGATATAGATTCCTCATTTCATCTTGGCTTCAAAATGTCATAAAACCTGAATAATAACCACTCAACCGTTGGCTTTTAATGGAAGAAGTGAATCATCTCAAATGGCTTCTGCCGCTTTAATTTGAAGATTTTTACGCATATTCAACTGAATAACTACGTGATTAAAATACCTCTTAACACATAGGTAGGAATGATTAAACTGACAGCCCTGGTAGAGAGAGAAAAGAAGCTCTTGTCAGTCAGAGAAAACAAAAACAGCATCAAAACACCACTCTATTAGCCTGTGTTTGTGAGTACTATGTGTTTTTTTTTCTTTGAGAATTGTCTTGTTTTTATAAAATAACCTTATTATTGTAACCATCATATCTCATTATATGGATCTGGTTCATTCACGCATGCAAATATTTTAACAACTAACATTAAAAATGATTAAAGACTATTCTAATTGGTTTTAAGCCTTATGTGGCGAGCTGATGCTTGTCTGTCACAAGATAATTAGAGCACTTACAGAAAATTATCCTGCAAAATGTTTGATATTCGATTAATTGTTTAAGTCATTTATTAAGCAAAAATTAAAAACGTCTGTTTTAAACTTCTCTAGTGTGACAATTTGCTGTCTTGTATCCTTATAAGCATGTATTACAAATCAGGAATTGCTGGTAAATACGTTTTCTTACGGGTGCCAGCTGTTCCAGCGTTGTATTCTTTTAAATCTCTAAGCAATATACAAGTAGCAGAAGTATATTAGTTTGTTATGAAGTAAAATGCAAACACACTGCTGATACATTATTGATATTGTACATTGTTTCTGTTTTGTTGTGTTTTTGGATTCTGTATGGTTTTGTGTTGTAGCTCCATCCAAACAGCTTCTTAGCTGTTCGTTCAACATGAATGCCAGCTGAGCTGTATAAATGTAGTGTATGCGCTTTAAAACCTCTGGGAACCGAGGACTGGCAGGAGAGAGAATCTCTTAACAATGTGAATGACATTCATAAATGCATATGCTCGCAGTGGCTGAGTGGATGATAACCAGAGAAACAGCTGTCAGTGAATAACAATTTTTGTGATGCTTGCAAAGCATCTATTGAGGACATCTGAGAGTTACTGTCTGCATTAAATAGAGGTGCACTGATAAATCTCATGTAGTCAGTGTGAAAATTCCCCTAACGATAGTTGACCTTGGATTTCTTCACTCTGTATTTTTTGAGCAATAAAAATGTCCTTTGGATGCAGGCTTAAGCCTTCCCTGGTGAGTCACTGTTTTTGATGTTGGGACTGATTGACTGAAGGTCAGCACTGCCAAAAGAGCAGCATGCTAGACATTTATAGCATATCATTATCTTCAAGTGATACATTGAATTCATTAAATAGTCTTGAGGTTTTTAGAGAATAATGACAGATGTTGACAGAATGCTGAGTCATGTTCACTGCTGAAAGTTGGCAGTGTTTGTCAGAAAAATACAACATAATGTTTAGTTGTGAAACAAGATTTTTATTTATGGTAAACTTCAACCAGCCTGTCCCATAATTGGCTGAAGACGCTCCTAAGTTTAAATTTCTGTGTAAAGCCCCTGTAT